CTGTAGTGCTAAGAAAACAGTTAAATTTTAAAAGCGCGGTTTTAAGATCTAACAGATCTTCTTGTTATATGGGCGTTCCCCGGATTTACGCGGGCTGAATTTATCATTGGAAATACTGCTTTTGACGCCATTTTTAACACGTTTTCAAACTGATGAGGGGAAAAAAGCGAATGGTTTAGTGTACAATTCTCCCTTGTTGGCGCAAGGCGATATAAGATAATCATTTATTAAGGAGCTGTACGGGCCAAATCTTTCAACCGAACAGCCAGACTAGAGTGCCAAAATTGAACCACAAAATGTTTTTTACAGACTTTCGTTGAGCCCACGAAGAACTACATAGCCAGCGTTGAAACCACTCGGGCGCTAATAACATCTATTATTCGTGAGTTTTAGAAACAACTGGCTCAATTAGAATTAACATAATAGACTCCTATTGATATGCAAAGAAGCTTTTAATTTGGATTTTGACCAATTTTGGCCAATTTTCCACAAATCCCGAAAGCGGTGCCAAATCACCTTCAGTTTGGATTGCTGAATTTTTAAATCTAATGGCCTTTATTTACTTTGTTAAGACCCTTGCTTGTTAACTGTGACACTTAAACGACGTAAATTAATAATCCTTAAAGAACAAACAGCAACATATTTTAAATAATACAGAAAGCACCCGCGCAGCTCTCCCACAGGGCTCTGGTATTTAGGAGCAATCTCAGTTGTTACTATGGTAACGTATTCCAAAATGGCGTTCCAAAACGGCTGACAAACATATGGAGGTCTAATTCCTCCTTGAGATGGATATGTTAGAATACTGCAAGACCTATAGTATGGTAAAAAGTAGTTATGCTAACCAAGAATCTACCGATCTAAACCCTCAGGAAGTTCGACAGGCATCGACCTCGCACAATAATTACGAAAATAATGGCGACATTGTGGTTGAACCTCTGGATAGCTCGTGTTTGTCAACAAAACCCGTGGATTTATCACATTACCGCTCAGTTACACAGCTCGACAAGGAAGAAAGCCTCAATGGCGACAAGAAACTTAGCCCCTTGAAAGACGTAGCGAGGAATAAAGCAATGATATCCTCGTTGAATACGAAGACTCCACAAAGAGTGAACTTCGAATGCGAGCTGACTTTTGCTCCGAAGCTAAACGCCCTTAGCATAAAATTGGCAAAAGAACGTGGTGAAAAGGTCCGTGCTGGGACAGAGAAGAGAATCGCTAACGCATCCGATGAATTTACTTTTAAACCCAAAGTTAGTTCCAACAGTGTGAAAATCGTGCAACAGCTAAAGACAACATTTATGGATCGACAGCAAATGCATGTGGAAAAACAAAAGCGCTACGTAAGTGGAATTTCACTTGACTTTTACATTGAGGCTATTAAAGCTTTGTCAAGTCTTTTAGTAGTAATTTTCAGGTATTCATAGACGAAGTATGCTTATGTTAATTTAATCTTGCATAAAGCCATTTGTAAATTTTGTACAAAGATTTATCAACCTTGTACTTTTCATGTTTGCCTTCAAGCGACAAATTTCAATTATTGACTCGTGATATCAAGAAAATACTAACAAATCAAACGCTCGTTATTGATATAGTGATAGTATACTAGCGTAAAGTATTTTGTCATGTTGAGACTGTCAAACAAAGTTTAGCCTGAGCTATAACTTTAAGTACCGTGGTCTCACACGGATATTTATTGCTTTGATTTTCACGTGGATCTCATGTGAAGCTTGGGGCGTTACAGAATGAAAATCATCACCAGCCAAAATAATTATTATTTTAGCCGGGGACGATTTACCTTTTTGTAATAATCATTACCTACCTTGGTGAAAAATGCAAACAGGAAAATACATAGACATCAGAAACAAATAAAAAATCACAAATACAAAGCGCATCAGAAGATACAAATCGATATAGTGCCCCTCCCTCAGTATACCTGGGAAAAGCCCATGTGCTAAACGTAGAGGAAGGGCAATAAGGGCTGTGTTGATTGGTCATTAATTAACAATCACTTATTAGAAATCTTCCAAAAAGAATCTTTCCTGACTTGATGTAGGTCCTAGAGGTTTAAATATTGTATATAAATTCATATATGTAAGTTATGTTTCAATGCCCAGTTCCCTCTGATCATTATTTGAAGTGTGCAGGGCACCTGATTGCATCATGGTAGTTGTTTTCATACAAGGCCTTTCAAGCCCAGCCAAAGATTTTCAGAAGACATTGTCACTTTTATTGGGAGTCTCTCAATTTCGTGTTTTAATTGTCTCCCCATGCAGGCTTTCATCAAGTTTTCTTGATTTAGTGTAAAACAAAACCAAAATGTAGGGAATTAACCTAAATTTGCAAAATTTTGAAGAACATGCCTCCCCAGACCCCCTAGATTCTTGCGCCTTTGACGCTTGTGATAGTGCCACAGTGCCAGTGCCTGCCTGTATTACTTCTTAATAGAATGCACTACTTAGTTAACAATGATTTTATCTGATAATTTCTTTTATGAACACAGACCATTCAGTTGTAAGTCAGGTAAAAAGTACAGACCAAGGTAGTCTTGTGTCTTTAAATAAGACACAAATAGAGGGCAGTTTTAACAAAAATCAATACATAAATTTGTTGCAACATGAATGTTTGGATCTTTGCTTATTTTTGTTCACAGATTGAAGCAACAATTAATAGTTCAAACCAAACCAAAGGCAAGTTCAGCCCAGTGCCAGTCGCATCCAGCAGATCTCCAACTCGGCTTAAAAAGATTCCTAAAATCAAGGAACCAAGAAACCAATCCAGGGAGGTTAGTTGAAAAACTTCACTGTTTATTTGCATTTTCCATCCTCCCATCTTGATCCACTCCCAGAAAATATCCCTACCTCTCCCACAGAGCATTTTGTTGGTGTGAATGCCCCCCTCCCATCCCTCCGGAATTCCAGTTTTTCTCTTACTTTCCTTAAAAAATTTTGGGTTTCAAGCCTCCTCTCCCCCTTGGAATTTCCTATAATCCTCCTCGGGGTGGGTATAGATATTTCCTGGAACCATACAATGTAGAATACAATCTGCTAACTTACCATGGGAATGTGACAAACTAATTGTACTATCTCAAGGAAGGGGGGTGAACTTGGTGAGAAGAGGAAGTCCCCCATCAGTAATGACAAGAGGACTCTGCAGTTCTGCTGGATAGATCTCTGTAGATTTAGAGCAACTTCTTGTATGAAACATTTGGAGAGAGAGAGTTGGGAGAGAGGGGGCAAATCTTGAGAGTCTGTTAAGGGGGAATTTAATGAGGAGCATGAAGAGAGAAGTTACATTCTGCTTTGTTTATTTCTCGGCTAATTTCAAGATTATTTATCTATTTGTTTTATTTCTTTGTTTGTTTATTGATAGGAAGATGATCAGAAGCTATCTGAAGAGGGTTCAACCGGCTCTCCAGAAGTGTTAACATCAACATCAGCACCGGACTTGTTAACAACTCCTTCACTGGGCAAATCTGACAACAATGACTTGAAAAGCTCACTGCAGCAATCAACTGAAAAACCTGATTTAAAGTCATTGTCATCAACTGACCTCAAAAAGACCAAATCTAATGCAAAGATCTCAGAGAATGCCATAAACAGGGCAAGTGTAGCTTATCAGAAAATCCAGGAGAAAAGTCCTTATAACCAATCACTCGAAAATTTGTACTTGAAAAAAGGCAAGAGAGTTATTAAGGCACACAAAAGGACAGCGACACATCCGCCCACAAAACCCATTGGGGTAGAAAGTGACAATGCCAGAGGCAGCTGGGACGATAACACAAAAGTTGAAAATCCTGTAAAACAAAAGAAAACTCACTCCAGAAGTCACTCGCAGCCCGGTTCACATCCACCGGGAAAAATGAAATATGATGATCCACTGTTTGACAAAGTTAGACATGCTAAAAAAGTGGCAGAAAATGCCATTAAGGTAAGTCACAGCCACCTGTAATATTGTCTCTGGTGCTAAGTTTATGTCTGAATCAAATTACTGTTCAGGCACAGTAATTTCATGGTTAGCACACTCAACTCTAGATCGAGTGGTCTGGGTTCGGGCCCTGGCTGGGGACATTGTGTTGTGTTCTTGGACAAGACACTTAACTGTCACAGCGCCTCTCTCCACCCAAGTGTAAGACTGGGTATTGGCAAATTTAATACTGGGGGTAGGCCTGCAATGGACTGGCATCCCATCCAGAGATGAATTAGAATTACTCCTAGAATAACTTAGAATTACTCCTAGTCCCTTCATGCTGTGTGCAGACTTTACCGTAGATGTTTTGATCGGGGGTGGAGCAGGGTTGTTGCAAAGTTTAAAAGTATTCTCAGCTTGAATGTTCGTTTTTCTCAACATTTCATTAACAGCAAAAGAAAGTTTTCATTTGTCATGGTCCGTATCCAATTGTCAGAGCTGTACTACGGAAGCGAGGATATGTAGAAAAACACTACAAAGGAAACCTGTTACCCTCAAAAAACAAGAAAAATGACAGTGATGGTAGTGACGATGATTCTTGTGATAGTGGAGATGACTCTGACTGTGAAAACTTGTTGCAAAGCAAGGACAAAAGCTCAAAGACTTCTAGTAATCTTCCAGATAAACCAAGAAAGGCATCAAAGCCACAAACTAGAACTATTAATGTCCGTAAGAACAGAGCTGATGATGACGGCAGTGCTTGTGATGACAGTGACGTTGATAGCACAGATAATGAAGACTGGAATGCAGGATATGAGGGAAATGGCCCTAACTGTGAATTTAGTCTCATGGTAAGTTCTTTTTACCCTCAGTAAACTTATACTTTGCTTGACATGTTTTCATTATTGATCAAGTTGTAACATACTTCCTTTTATCAAAGAATATAATTATAACATGGTTTTCTCATAATGGACTCCTGCATAACACAGACACCTCTATATTACAGAGAAATTATCTGGTCCCAGTGAAACAATTTAATTCATAGGATGATTGGCTACCTCTACATAAGAAGAAAGGGGTATGTTTAAAACTCGAAATGGCAAAATGAAAAAATTGCTCTTAACAATGTGGGACACGGTAAACCCTTACTTTTATTGAGAGCTACCCATTATTTTGCCATTTTGTGTTTTAAAAACACCCAGAAGGATGTAATACGAATAGTCAGGTCTGCATCTATGGTGACACAGCCTGGGCAGACCTTAGTATTTGTATTGAACAACTGGAGCCTGATAAAGAGAAATTCAATAGATGTTAATCAAGATCTTTAAGTGATCAACAAATGCAAGAAAGTTCCAGCAATTGAAATACAGTTTGTATGTAGGGTCAATTTCAAAATTTACAATAAATTTTTGGTTTGCTTCCGACTAAGAATATTATACTGTCAGCTGTTAGGTGCTACTACCTTCAGGATAATTATATAGGCTGCCAGATTGTGAGCTTCTACAATTACATGTACAAACTGACCCATCACATTCACTGTTCCCCACAGTCCAGATCTGTGCGCAATGCTGTAGCTTCATTTATTTGGACTACCAAACGTGATGATGTGGATTTCAAGTTCTTAAGAAAGGTGAGATTAAGAAAAAAATATATCCCTAACTCAAGGGTGTGACCCAATATTTTTTTTTTTTCTGAGGTGCAAATTTTTTTTTTATAAAATGCTTACTATGGCATATAAATTGGTAACAATTGAAATACATCAATAAAACTGAAACAAACAGAAGCAAAAGCCAAGGACATGCAGTACGGATGAAGTTTTGTGACCTTTTACAAAAACATAAAAAATGGGGTTTTTATATGCACCATTTAACAGTCATTGATTAACTGGCTGTTTCTGAGAGGTTGTTTTCTCAATTGGCAGTAAGGATGCGTTGTAGAGAGGTTAAAATAAGAGTGAATGTATGGACTGTTTGCCTGGACAAAAAAAGTGYTCATTGCTGCGAGGTGGCCYTTAGGGAGTTTCGACTGTACAGRRAACTAACTTGACATCTGACTGCTGGTTAGTCAAGTTCACTTCCATTTTGAATTACAGGTCCTGACTTCTGTTAAGGCAGATTCTCTCCAAGAAGAGACAACTGACTCAGTTTGTGTATATCGGACATGTGTGACTGGACAATGTACTAATCACCTCTCGTGTATGACCTTTTTAATATTATTAATAATTCACTCTGGTTAATTTGCAGGACCAGATTGTTAATCACTACAGCAAAGCAAGTTCTTTCACTACCAAGGTCAGTGCAACAACAATAATAAGGTTTTGTGGTGTGGTTAGCACCTTGAAACAGAAGGCTAAAAAATTAAATGACAATAATGTTTTACCCTATCCATGCACAGAACTAACTTCTACACCAATATTTTTTAACAGTTTGGTCTCACCACAAACATTCAAAACTTGAAGTGGTATGAAGAAGCTGATCACTTCGCATTCTTCCCTCGCTCATATTTGCTTGGCTCAGATGATGAGAAAATGGATTTCATAGGTATGTCTGTAGCTGCAACCTCTCCTTGTTGTATTACTCATCTCCAGAAAGATATTTTCAAAGCATCCATACTCCCTCCCCTTGTCATGTTGAATTCCAGGCAGAATCTACTAGAATTGTTCTCAACAGTTCTGGATACGGAGTTTAATACACACAAAATATTAGGCCACTGTTTGTGTCCCTCTAAGTTAAAGATTATTCTGCCATATAGGACACCATTCAAAGAGAGAAGTGAAAGCCAAGGGTGTGGGAGATCTAGGTTGCCATGGAGACCTATAACCTCGAAGTCTATCCCAAACCAAATTGGTTTGGGAAATAAAAATAAACCAAATATTGCAAAGGCTGATAAATTGTTTCATGCATGTGCACATATCTCAGACATTGACAACTCTTCTGGAAGAGTTCAGAAAGGATCAACACACTAAAACAGGGTTTAAGGTTGAAAAGATCGTTTACCCAGACTAGAGAACTCATAATCAACTTGAGATAATTTTCTCAACTACTATCTCTTCATTGCCAGATGATTATCGTCTCACTGCTGCCATAAGCATAGTAAAGTGGGTAATCCAAAGATATGAAAATGGCAACAGTGATGAGAAACCTCATTCCAACAAAGAGCCATCGTCGCCTGACCAGGGGCGTGGCACTCCCAAAACAGCATCAAGTACACGACGCAGGGATTCTGCTAAGTCCAAAGCTGCATCCAGGGCTCCCTCTCGGGCAACTTCCAATGTAATACCCGTGAAGGCCCTCACACTTGCCCTTGAAGTGTGCCGTGACTTCCTCAGATGTAAGGGGCACTTGGATATTGATGAGCCAATCAACAAGGTCAGTGTTCTTAACATGTTTACATATAGTGTGTCCATCAGTCAATTGATTTCTGTGATTGTAGTTTCTACAGCAACAAACAGTTTTTGGGATGTGCTTCAATGCTCATCCTACCTCCTTTTCAAGGCAAAGACCAGTGAAGCTGTGAGTTGTGATGATATCAATGTTGATCATGATTGTCGTCGTCGTCGTCATCATCATCATCATCACCATCATTACTCTCTGTGCCAGTAGGCACAGAAGACTGCAACATAGATGTAGAACATTCTGCTTCCATTCCGCTATCTCTGGCTACTGCTATTGCAGTGTTCCATCCTGCCTGCCATCAATGATGACAGTGGCTAATTATTGGTAGTAGTTGACTTTCTTCCTGATTTATGCAGATCAAAGTTGTTTTCTCCTTTTCGGACTGAACTGACAGACTGTTACAAACTTGTACTCATCTTTACAATCCCTCACATAGCTTGAGGGCCATGAACCCCTTTGCCATAACAGCTGTCGTTGCTTTTCCACTGTAACAAATTGATATGATTAAATTAATTTTTGAACGTCAAATTACTTTCAGGGTCCAGCTATCACAGAAGATTCCTGGAAGCTTCTTGTTGACTTCTATTACCAGATCAAGAGGTGAGTTAGAGCAAAGTGCTGTTTGACATAGACTCTCAAACACCTGGGGGGAGATTAGACTGCAAAACAGTCATATTTTTTGCAAACGCAAGCTACGGTCAATATTCTAATGAAAGGTCTGGAGTGAGTGTACAAGCTGCAAGGGAGAATGAGGAGAGACACTAAAATATACGTCATTTTCTCGCCTCACACTCCCAGTGTGTGAGGCTCGCACGCTTCACTCATGAGGATCGTGCTTGTGGTGCTTCGCGCCTTCTGAAAATGTCTAAATACATCCGAAATCGACTGTTTTGCAGTGTAGGGGGAGAGAGATACTATGGGTTTTCTCTATTATTGAGTATTTTACCTTAACTTATTTGTTTTCCTTGTGTTTCAGACCAGCAGTTTCATTACTCTATTCATAATGTTATTACAATCACTGCCTGTTTTATTGAACACTTTTTATGCTTTTCTGTTTCAGTCATGATGCTGTTATTGCCACTGCTTATCCTTTTCTCAAAGAGTGTCAGAACACATTGAAACAGGTGAGGTCAGCTCAAAAGAAAACATAACCAAACCAAACACAGATTACTTTTGACAGACAATATGTGATATGTGCAAATGTGGGAGACACAATGGGCTAATGGTTAGTGCGCTTACCAGGTTTGGGTCCCCAAGAGGTCATTGTGTACAACACTTTACTCTCACAGTGCCTCTCTCTAGCCACAACAGGAGTACTGTTGAATTAATTCTTTTATTCTGGGGGATAACAGTGTGATTCATGGTCTAACATCCATCCATGGGGAAGTAGAGATAAGTTGCTCCATGCTAAAAATGAAAACTGGGCTAACCTTCAGCAGCTGTATGGGACACTTGGCCTGGCACAGACTTTGACAAATTAAAACTTATAAACAACACTTATCTGTTTTGCAGATGAGAGAACACCTTCCTCAGATAGACATAGATGGCATGAAGAACATTTGGATTGTCAAACCTGGAGCAAAGTCGAGAGGCAGAGGTAAGGCTAATAACATCAAATGCAGCCTGATAACAGTGACTCGTATATTGCTATTGGTAGGAATCCAGTCAGAAACAATATTGTCAAAGTAATTTACTTTGAGAAAAAACTAGTAATCATTTGACATCTTGATCCACATCTATTGGCGCACTACATGTCTCTCTATTGAGAAGAAAATCAAGTCAAGTAATCCATGCAAAGGATTACATAGCTATACCACTGATATGTGCTTGTGAAAGTATTTAAGGTGGCCCAGTGGTTAGTACAATGAATTCTGAATTGAGAGGTTTCAGTCCTGTGTTGTTGAATTCTTGGGCAAGAAACTTTTCCCTCACAAAATTTGTCACTGTCCGCCAAGGTGCATACAGTGAATGGTTACCAGCAAAATAAATGCTGTAGTAGACTAGCTAGCTGAACCTTCCAATGGATGTAAGGGCCGGATCAATGCACCACTAGGCTATATAAAACAGAATTTTGAGTCTGCATTTACATTTTCTGCATGCAAAACATGCCTATGAAGGTATCAACATGCATTCCTCCCCTTATCAGTGCCCCCCCCCCCCCCCCCCCCCCCCTT